CCCCCACAATGTCAACGTTACGATCCGACTCGACTCGACTCGGCCCTACCCTACATACCAAAAACCATTTGCACCGCTCAATTCCAAAAATTTGAAGCAGTATAGTATAGTATTTTGTATTCTATTCTATGAAGAAACAAACAATAAATGTGTTGCGTTAAAATGGGGGACCCTCTTTCTGTGCATAACATCATCTTCTACGCTCCCGGGGGATAATATCGAAGAAGCCAACCACAGACGGACAAAGATGAGGGCAAACATAGTAGGTCAGCGTTCATCTTAAAAGATTCAGGTGCTCTCAGAACCACTGACATTAACCTCGTGTTCCCATCGGATTCATATGTATTTCAAAATTCGGTCAATTAAGTTGGAATGCTATTGGAATCAAATTTATTAATTTTATTTGTACATTTAATTACTCTTTATTATTAAATTGACACTGAACTTCACCAAATTTATTGTAGTCATGGAATTGAACGTGGGACTTAGTAAATATGGACTTATTGTTAATTAAATGATTATAATGAAACCACATAATTACGTTAAATTTTTAAGTTTAATAACATCATTCATACATTCAGTCCTAATTGGATTTGGTTACGTTACCAAAAAAAAATGTGTACCATCCTCCATACACATTGCGATTATTTTTACTTTATTTGTAAATGTTTATACCCACATAAAAAAATAATAAAATAATTATCACAATAATAGTAAAAATATCTACAAATATAATAAAAATATCCATAACATGATAAATCACTCACAAAAGTAGTACTAATTTTTTTGTACCAAAGAAAAGTGATAAACATAATTACTTCAAATATGATAAAATTATTCACAAAAATAATAAATTTTTTAATCATAAAATAACCCATAAAAAATATAAAAACATCCTTCACAATAATAAATTTTGGATGTATAGAGCCAAATTTTTTTTTTAGTCAAGTCATAATGGTAGAGTGGGTGAATTAGAGGTGCTTAGTTTGACTACTTTCAAGTTCCGAGATCAATCAACTTTTGGGAAAGGAGTTCATTTAGTGCGAGCCTTTATTGTGAGTATCAGCTTTTTATTTCTTAGGCGCTTACACCAATGTTAAACAAAAGGAGGTGGTCCTCCTATAATTGCCATGGTTGATTAGCATTTGTTGGGCGCTACACCCTTTTTATCCCCAGGATAACAAACATTTTCCTAAGCGTTGAAAACAAATACTTTATTTTATAGTGAATTTTATTATTGAAAATATTTCAAGTTGAATGAATGTTCCTTGTAGTTGTGCAATAGCTAATGGCTTCGTTGCAATTGCAGGGTCTAAGATAGTTTCATTTATAATTAATTAAATCATTAGATATGTTTGTTAGTTGAAAGTATTTTCGAAGTTAAAAGATATCACACACGTCTATATATAAAAACGATAGTTGTGCATCAACAATTCAAAAGATAAAAAGAACATTAGAGAAGTTTAGAGTTAAAAATATATGAATTTAGTCGCAAAAGTCAAGAAAATAGTCGGCGTATGGTAATAACTTGATTTGACTTGGATGAACTAAACTAATCTTGAGATGCGGAAAAAATGAACACTCTTTACGTAAAATTTCAAGGCCATCTCTTTTTCTTTGCTATGCATAGCTTTCAATCCATGCCGACATGGTTCTGGAGTATGAAAAACATGGCCAAATTCAAATGTGGTTGGGGTAGTTCAGCCATGCGTTGGACAAACCTAGATAATCAAACAACATATATTCTATCATATAAGGTTCTTCGCTTTCCATACCAATGAAACAAAAGAAAAGCTATCTAAAGAAAGCCAGCTGGCTAGTCCTTTTTTCTATTCAATTTACCATAAGAACTTGTACAGTCTTTGATCCAAACCCACCACTTGTTTTAGCGTTTAACTTCCATCACTCACTTAATACATCATTACAGAGTTTTGCATACAGTGACCAGGGTGTATGATTGCAAAAGAATGAAATAGGAAGAGGGCTGTTACGTGAATTTAAAAAATAAATTTAAAAATCAGATTTGATAATTACAATCATTAAGTGTGATTAAGTGTGATTGGAAAGCAAGTAATGAGTGGTCAAGAGGATGAAAGCACGGGTTTATCATTAATGCTATTAGAATATAATTCAAAGTCAATGTATTGTGATCATTGAAATTACAATAAAATACATTTAATGCTAAAACTCACTAATAATTTAAAGACCATAGTAATAATATACGTAATTATCGATCAATTACGCAATGACTTTTTGACATCTTGTTCCCATTTCAAGACAGTTGACCTACCCCCATAAACATTAAAGTCTGCCTTGATTTTTGCTAATCCTTGGCACTAGTCCGTTGTCGGCTGCCCTTTTTCGTTTAGCTTTCATTCATCTTTTGCATGTAACGTAGTGGCATGGCTAACCATTTTCTTGTTACGATGCTCCATTCTCCATGCTTTAATGGATCGAAACAATTCAGCGGTCCATCTGGTATTGTATTCGCAACCTTTTACCATTCATATAAAAACACGAATATTAAATGAATTTAATCATAGTTTAACCATTTTGAAAACATTTTGTGCTCACTTGGGCATATAACGTTAAAAAAAGGTGCAAGGAGTAGTTGAAAAGTGGCAAAGATGAACACCCTTTATGCTCAAGCTTTTTTATAACCAAAGTAAAGGTTGTTACTTGTTTGATTTTTGAGGAAAGAAGATTCTCTGTATATAAAAAACAAGCACAATCCTTCATTGAGTGTTATTGCTGCTATCAACTATTTAACACAAACCTAAGGAACACGACACCTTGTGTTTCGTTTCCATTTAGTATTAAATGAGACAACCTGATCAATAGGTGTTGGGAACTATGTACTGTTGATCTAAAGAATTAAATTTGAATAACTACTACTTCAGTATTAAGCTCAAATTCTGTGTAAACCAATTGAAGAAAAACATTGTATAGCTCAAGCACAAAGTTTATTTTCATATTGAAGGAGTAATTTGTTACAATTGTAAAACCACATCAGCACTGTTGGAACATAGCTCTGATACCACTTATTGATTTTGCATAGAGGATAATTAACACAAAAAACATTTGTTGGAAGATAGAAATTCAAAGATAGGAAAATAATAAAAATATAACACAAAAATATAACGTGGTTCGATATAGCATACCTACCTTGGTATACCGTACCTACACCCACGGACCAAGAATCTACATCGTTGTATTATTCACTGAAATCTGGTGATCTGATAATTGATTACATAATACTCAACCCTATTTATAAGGCTAAAATATTGTAATGCAAACTTATTCAGATACGATCTTTATGTTTCCTAGCACATGTCTAACATACTTATTCATGTTATATTAAAACTCTTCCGATATAATCATATTCCATATAAGATTCTCACCCAACAAACTCTCCTTCATAACAATTAGAGAGTTTGAGTTAAATTACAACAAGCACCGATAAATGGTATCACAATCCAACAATTAATCATCGCATAAAACTGACAGAAGAAAACTACCTTAGCTAACAGAATCTAATAACTATTGAAATCACGGTCATAGGACGGAGCTGGAATAACCCGACTAATTTTGTATCGATGGAGTCCAAAAAAAGTACGCATGTATGAAAACATAATCTTCAAGCAAAACTTTTCTACGTAATGTGTTAAAAATTGTGCAATCCCCATGGTTGTCAACTTTTTAGAATCATGTTCATATTGAATCTTACGAAGTTCTACATTGATTATCAATTATCTAACACAACTCTTTTTCTTTATCCGGGCTTGAAACAAACTGTGTAAAAGATAAAAACTCAACACAAGTTTACTTTATTTCACTTTGCTTATTTTGATAAAACGTTAAGGAAGACAAAAGTAGGCGGCCATTTTGACCAAAACAGCAGGATTAAGCTTCTTGGATACCTTGGCCTTGGGACAGCAAGCATATCGTGGCTTAATTAGTCTGGACGCATTTATTCATTTGGCCAATTTTCTAATGACTTGATACAAGTGTCGGACAAGCGTCAAAATGGTTTTTTTCCAGATGACTTGACATTCCTAAAACAACAACTTACTTTATTATTATTTTTATTTTATCAAAGACTATAATCTATGAATCAAATGCAACCGATGACAATGCTCGTACCCACCTGTTTGAGTAGCTAAATAGGCAGCAACAATTTAGATTAGGCCTTGAGAATGGCCAGCCACTACAAATGTTCCAATCCATGACCTGGCCTCAATCAAGCTGGAAACTCTCGGCTACCTCTATAACTTATGTTACATGACTCCAACTCGGGCCCAGCCAAAAAAAAAAAGACGAATTTGATGATCATTTCCAAGAGCAGAGTTGCCACCAAGAGGTATAGAACTGGTTTATCCTTGTCAAAATCAACTGAAGGTTAACTTAATAATGAGATTTTTTTTTTTTTAAATCAAAGGACAATTACAACACTTCTACTTGAAAGCAAAAGTGGCATAGTGTCCATATAACCCCCACACACACCCTAAGGCTGTCCGACGTGGGATAGCCCCTAATAATGAGATTGATATACATGTCTTTTTGAGAGCATATACTTCTTTTTGAGATTGATATACCCACTTAATTAATAATGGTCTTTGTGCCTCGATCACACGCCTTCTTGTAATTCGCCACGACACAAGCAGAGAATTTTAGCAACTAGGACTCTACTTTATGGTGCGTGGACGTTCGGTTGATCCCGCAGCGATTGCAAGAACCAGAAAAGAAGATTCGGCAATGATCAAATCAGGACACTGGAGTTTATGTTTGATACAGATTTGAGGCCTGGACTCTGGACAAGAAGACAAACAGCCGGCTAACAAGCTAGTGCCTTCAGCCTCCGCCAGGTTGCAAAATAGAAGAGCTAGATCAAATTTAAAGCCGATTGAACAAGACTACATCATGCTGAAAATCAGCATGATACTCTCTGGCTTCCAGATTCAAGTCCTTTGAATAAAGAGAAACAATCATATGTTATCCTGATGCTGTCCTATTTGTTCATAAATATTACTAATTCATGATTGGAGTCTTACAAATAATTGTGTTCCCAGTTGCAGAGACGGATTTGATGGAAAGGCCTCGCGAAGCAAAAATCCAGAATATGATCACCAGGAGGCTATGTTGGAAACAAAAGTGAAGCCCAATCTTCCACTGAACACTTTTGAACATGAACCTGGTGTGCCTTCACCCAATGATGTTGATGAAATTGTTAAGTACCTTGAGGATCCAAATTGCTTTCTTAACGTCAACGCAGGTGGTTCAGGGATACAATTTGGAGTCTACTAGTCTTTTTTTGATATTTCGGGTTGTAGCTCAGAGAGGTGGGAATTATAGTCTTGACCATCGCTCAGAAAGTAAAGTGTCTTATGATCATACTATGTTAGGGTAGAAGAGGGTGGAAACAGGGTAGCACTCTAGCCATGGGAGTGAAAGAGTCTCATCCCCTTAATAGTCTCTCCAGATTAGCTTTTAAAGAATTTTGCCACCAGAAAATTGTTTAATATGTGCCTATCAAAACCCACAAAATCATAACTACTAAATTCTGCATCAATTGCATTCTCCATTCACCATCCAGTTTCTTTACGTCTATCTGATATGACATGATAAACAACAAATAAATTGAAGAGCTCAATCAAGCCAGGACTCAAGAAAAATCTAGGAAGGAGCTAACTAGCCATGCCTAAGGCCAATATTGCAAAGCAAAGTAACCTTCCTTTCTAGATATCGAAAGCAAAAATATAAAAAATATCCTCCAACACTATCACTTTTACAAAATATAAAAACACGCAAACCTAAGAAGGATAAATACACATACAAGAATACAAAAAAATTCCAAAAAACATAGAACACTGGTATGACAAAGATACGGCTAATTAAAATAGTTTTATATATCTAATAACAATATTAATAATAACCAATAAAACCTAGCAAACAATATTTTTTTGATTATAATAGACGTAGATCAAAGATTCAAAATAAACATCCACCATTTTCATAAATCACATGGTTCTAAACATAAGTAGAAAACCCAATGCTTAAAATCAAGTATTTAATCTTATTTCAAAGCATGCAAACCAAAACCCTAGCTCGAGGAAAGCCAAAAGCAAACCTGAGTTTTCCTCATCCTTTTTTCGTTTATGAACCAGCAGTCAGTTGATTGACTACTTGGCCTCTTCGTTCACCACTCTCAGTCAATCGAATGATAGAATGAGAAGACTCAGAAGAGAGAACCTCGTAGGTTTTGTTCTGTCCAAAAGAAACGACATCACCCCTTTCAAGTCTCTTTTTTTTTTTTTTTTCATTTCAACCCCGTAAAATTTTTTAAAATAACAAAAAAAAAAAAAACCCGCCGCATCCTGTACATGTCCCTCCTGTATTCAACCCGTATTTGACTAAATTTTTTCTCTATTTAGGACACTTTTAGAAGTGTTAGACACACGCCCAGCCGTGTCCCACAAGTATCCATTCTTCCTAGAACCAAATTATCACCATTACAAGGTTTGTGATTGTGATAGTTTTTTAAAGGTGGTTTCTTTCATTTTCATGATTGGCAATAGACTTCCTCCATGTAAAGAAGATCTGGATGCATAACATCCCCTCAAAGCATGAAAAAAATGTTCCCAGTACATTTTCCCAATTGATAAGCCTCTCTTATCCAAAAGGCATGGGCAGTTGTGGCTCCACCCCACCATCATCCAAATAAAGTGAATATTGATCTTCTAAATGAGTTGTTCAGCACTTGAACGGAGTACGCTGATACTGAAGTTCTATGACATCTTCCATGGGATAATTAATAGCAATCTAACATACTTAAATTTTGGTCAAAGTTCATCTTTATCACTCTCATCATACAGTAATCAACCATAGACTTAACCAGAACCTTAAACCTCCTAGTATTAACTTTGTCATTCCCCCTCGACAAAAATAATAATTAATTTGTTATTTTTTGCTTTAGTTCTGCCAATTGATTATTCCATTACAGCATTCAAAAGGGAAGACAACATCAAGTTGTTATGCTAACATTCAAGTAACAAGGCTTTTATATAAGATCAGATCAATGATTTCATGTCACCTTGCATGGCATGTGTGTATATATTGTCAACAACCTTTAAGATTACAGACATAATAAAAGAAATGAACTACATTAACCTGATTCATGCATAAAACACTCTCATATCTCGGTCTTGACCTTCATATCTCCATTTGGTAATATGCTTTGTGATTGTGCGAGCCGTTTCGATTCCTACATTAGACTATAAGAATTAGCGCATACGATTAAAAAGCATAGACCAGCAACACAGAACAGGCAACAAAAGCCTCTTTCACAATTACCAAAAGACACCAAGACACATATCCATGCACCACCTAGATTTATCTATATTTATACTACTTTTAAATGTCAATAGAAATGCAAAATTTTTTATTACCAAAATTTCCCATAAAATACAAAAAGACAATTGCATCATTTCTAACATTTTTTTACTGGCCTATAAACAATAAGAGCTAGGGCTAGGGTTTACCACCCACTTGAATATGCTGGTTTTAAAATGCAATAACCCAAAGGATAGTGGTTTTAAAGTCATTCTCGGGAGTTACAACTAATCTCTTGGAAGTCTGTAATTAAGTTAAAGTATGATAAGTAAAACAGGAACAAAGGTTCTATATGTGGTGGTAGGCCTGTCAAAGTTCGACACAACACGATTAACCGATACGAATCGACACGAATTAAGTTGATTTGGGTGAGACCTTAATGGGTTTGGGTGATAAATGGGTTAACCCACCAAACACGTTTAATAAACAGATCGTGTTCGAGTGAGACCTGTCAACTCGTTTATCACCCATTTACCCGTTTAAATAAAATTAATATAATAATAAATTAATAATTATTTTAAAAAAATAGCCATAATTTTTTTATTTTTAGTGACAACCACAAAAAATATATAAGCCATCTAAAATTGTTAGATTGTTAGTTTTATAAAGTTTATATATATAAAAGTTATTAAAAAAATATAATTTAAAAAATAAATTTTATACACAAATACATGATAAAATATTTAAATTTATTTCACTATTAATTCATTTTGAATACAACTCTTGCGAAGGCAGCAACACAGAGCCCTTTGGAATGCATTTTTTTGCCTTTACACTGTATCCCACATTGAATAGACATGAAATGCTGGTAGCATCTCATGTCTATAAATGGTTATAGTTTCCTATGCACAAGCAATTCACGTGAGACTGTCTTAGCTCAGAAATCAAGATAATCACTTTTAGTGTTTTTTTGGTCAGCACTGTATAAAATTTTGGGCTTTTATCTTGGGCCAATGTTTAAATTTTGAGTTAAACAAGTTGTGTCATGTTACTCATTTATTTAACAGTTCGTGTTCATGTTAAAGTTTTTTACCCGTTTATTTAACGTGTCATATATGGGTTTATATGTTTTTAACCTGTTACCCGTTTAACCCGATATGTAACTGTTTAACCTGACACGATTGACACCCCTATGTGGCAGAATATGGTAATGGGATATTAAGCACTTGTATAAATGTCTAAAGAAGTTCTAAATAATAATTGAATTAAGTAATCTCCAATATTTCAGGATATATAGTTTTTCAGGCCGTGGAAAAGAGAAACTTTAGCCCAATACCTCGAGCTATGTTTACCAATCATAAACCAATTCCAATCCCGTGAGTTTGATTAGTCATACATAGCATACCATTTATGTCCTCCAATTTCATAAGCTTTTTAGCCTTACTTCTGCGATACACATTGAACTCATCCAGTTATACTTTGGTTTTTGAAAACTTCTCAAAAACAATTTTATCTTACTATGATTCATGATAATAGAACTGGGCAATGGATGATGTATAGAAAACAAACTCGATGACTCAACCCAAAACAAGACACTAAACATAGTTATATAGTTATTAAGCCGATGGTAACACCCAGCAATAGTAGTTCAAACTAATAAAATAATGAATGGATAAACTTATTGGAATATTTATCCTGGATGAATAATTGCGACATATGTATTAGTCAAATGCAACTCACAGCTGCAGATGTGGCACGTATTTCCCTGTAAGCTTCCACTTCATCAGGAAATGCCTGTTCAAGTTCCTCTAGAAGATGCCTTCGTAAACTCTGTACAGAAGATAGGCATGAAAATTATCATAACAGCTTAAGAAATTCACATAATTTCTCATTCCATAACAAATTTCATCTTTGCAGCACAAATAACAGTACTGGTACACAAAATACTTTGGTGTCAAACTTATAAACCAATATATAACTCTCAAAGGGAATAACCTAGCAGACACAGGGATAAGAAACCTAGGAGAGAGCTATAGCCATTACCTGGATTCAATTCTGCATACTGAAGCACGATCAACGAAGTAGAGGGATTTTTGTGTGTAAACAAATTGGAAAAGATTCTACCAGACAGCTTTGAAGCCCGTATTACGAAATAAGACCACAGTACTTGCACAATTAAGCTAAAGGTACACTAAACAGTTGAACAAAACTGTGCTCGATTTGAATTAGAAAATAATTCACACTTCAGACAAATTTAGGATAAGGATTAAGTGCAGGATGGACATGCACATGTGGGTGTGTATGGCAGTATGGGTGTTATTGATACACTGTAAAACAGAGTATAGTAAACCACGTTGTCGTCTAGAAAAACGCAGGTTCTGAAGATATTGTAAATTAAATTGGGTGTACAAAAGCAAACCTTGAATGCGTCAGTTTTGCCTTTGGTAATCTGATTCTTGGCAATGCAACTATTCAAGACATCCCTCGTGAATTCATCCGGATTCTTTCCATCATCAATCAAACTAAAGATTTATATAATACATCCATTATCAGAAATCAAAACCAAAAAGTCAATACATAAAAGAAGCAATAAATTTCATCACTTTAGTTTGGGGAAAAAGGGGACATACTTGAGGACCTCCATAGGGACCTGAATATTGCAGTTCTCAGCCAATTTCGTCATGTTGTCGAGCTCTAAAACAAGCGTATTCCTGCACAAACCCAATTCGGTCGGAAAACCTAAACACATGTAATTGCAAGAACTATTTAGGGTTTCAAGAACAATTTAGGGTCTCAAGTAGAGAGAGAGAGAGAGTAGGTACAGGCGTTGGAGGAGGGGGAGTTGAGAGGCGACATTGAAGGAAGAGACGGTGAGGTAGAGCTGGTGGATGACGCCCAGCGTTTTCTGTATCGAATCAGTGACTTGGCTAAGGTTTTGCTTCGGGTCATCCGTAGCTGTTGTTGCCGTTGAATCCATGGGTGATGCGTCGTTGGATTGAGGGATTATGATGCCGTTGCCACCCCCACTCCCACCAGTAGAAGCAGCCGCTGCTATTGCGCTTTGCGATGATGCCATCGTTCTTGAGGGAGCGTGTGTTCCAATGGAGTTCCGATTGGGTAGTTTGGTATTCTATCTCCTAATATTTGGAACGGTGCGCGCCCGTCTTATAGAAAAAGCAATCCCCTGAAATAGAAGATTAGTAACACGACGTCGTTTAATTCCACTCACTTTTCTGTTTATTTTGTTTCTGTTTCGAAATAGGAGATTAGTTACACGACGTCGTTTAATTCCACTCACTTTTCTTCTCTTTTCTTTTGTTTTTTTCTCCCTATGGAGATGAGAGAATAACCGTATACAATGTTTTTCGGTTGAAAAAATAAACAGAGCAATCCTATTAGAACCTAAAAAAATTAATCTACTTGTGGTAATTTAATGATGTGTTAATAACGTGGTACAATAGTGTTGATGTGACTCTAACTTTTAGATTTGTTTATTGTGATTCCATCACTTAAACGATACATCATTAAATTAGATTAAACTTTTAGATCTCAATAACACCATTTAAATAATAAACTTAGTATTTGGTGGGACTCCAGTGCGGCTCTTCAGCCCCTGGATTGACACGTGGAACAATGAAGCTGTCAGGATGACCAAAAGATGTCGAGGAGGTAAGCCGAGGTATGGTGACATGGAGCGGCCGAGTACAACAGCTGACGTGGTATTTAATGCGATGTGACCTCATATTTATGGTGGAATGAGTGATAGTGACAGGGCAAATAAATGTGCGCTTACAGGTGACTGCCCTTTGGGAGTCTAAGCCTACTGTCATAATGGCTAAACATTAATGACTAATGCCCCAAGACGACGCACCAGATCTCCCGAGGAACTGTTCCGTCGAGAAGTCAATGCTTGGTCGGTGTCAGACACCGACCTGATGGATTTGGTTGTTCAGGGAGTAGCATAAGTGCTCGGTGGATGGTCGAGCTGTTATCCCATTTTTCTAGCATTCAATAGAAAGAGACATGAATAGGAAACATTCACAACACGAGAAATGGTGTATCAGATATGAAGATGTCCAGATGGGACTGAAGATCTTTAATAATCATTGTTAATTCAAGTATAAATATCCCTCAGAAAAATGGATAAAGGTACGCAAACTCAAACCAAAAAAAGTCCATTGAGCAAAATTCTTCGATATTTTATTGACTTAAGCTTCGGAGGGGATTATCCGGGCACACGTCTGGCCCCCTTTTTCTGACCCTGTTGTTCCAAGTTCGCCAATTGGGAAATCGCCGCCTCACACGATTGCAGGAATCTTCCCTTGCAATTTGGTGTCGTCTGTGGGAACGAAAGCATTTCTTCCGGTAGCGATCCTCTGATGGTGAACACTAGATCTCAGGGTGAGGGAGCAGGTGTACGGGCTAGGAACGCAGAGCTCGTCTAGCTTCCAATGGTTCTGGAGCCGGACTCATTAGGCCAATTAGATGGGGTGGGGCATTCTTTACAAAGGACACTCCCTATGGATCAGGGCCTTGGGGGACGTGACCTCATGGCCCATGACATTGTGGAGATGGTGGAAAAGCGGATGAGCAAGCGTATTAAGCAGCTCGAAAGGGACAACGCCAAAGTTCAGCAATGTCTTGACGATTTTGAGCAATCAGCAACCGCGGGCGAGCATAATCACGGGGTCGGGGACCAAGTGCCCAGCCAGAACCTGTCCAGACCCGCCTGGCGATGGCCCCCCAGGAATGATTGGATAAGGCACTCGCCCGATGGACGTGACCGCCGAGAGTGTTGTCGACCTCCAAGGAAAAGTCAGAATCGGGCCAGAAGGCAAGCCTGTCCAAGTGGGACCAATGCTGAGGGATACCCGAGAGCGTTGGAGCCGCCGAATCTCAAGCGAAGTCCATGCCCCGAAGGCCTCGAGAGGAAAGAGACACCAAGGGTCCACGGGTTCCCTTTATCGGTCAGCGTAACCATGAACCCGCAGTCTACTCCGACGAAGTTATCTCGTCATTCATCCGGGCTATCAGGGAGGCCGAGATGTCGAAAAAGTTTACCGTCCCACAGTTCAAAGTCTATGATGGGAAAATCGATCCCGAGAGCCATCTTTGGCAGTATAGGCAATTGATGTCAATCTACGATACTGATCAAAGGGTGTTGTGCCGAGTTTTTTCCATGAGCTTAGGAGACACCAGTATGAGCTGGTATGAGAGTCTTGCTCCCGAGAGTGTTGGGTCCTGGAGACAACTGACAGAACTCTTCTTGGCTCGATTCATCACCAGTAGTAAAAAATCAAAGGACATCGATGCTCTGTTGACGCTCAGGCGAAAAGGGGGAGAGACACTCCGACAATATACCATCTAATATTGGGATGAGGTGAATGAGGTGGAGGCATTAGCTGCGGCGTCATTTAGGCTGGGGTTGTCCCGAGACACTGACTTATACAAATCGCTGACCAGAAAGGCCTCGACGGACATGAAAGACTTGATGGTTCGGACTAACAAATATGTCCGGGTGGAAGAAGAGTCTGTCGCGCCCGAAAGCAGGGCCACGGTTCTGAGAAAAAAGGGATAGGGAGTAGCCGTCCCAAAGGGGAGGGCCTATTTCAACCCCAACTCACTTATCCTTCCAAGGAGTGAACACGATATTTAACGAGCTCATTCACAGGATACTCCCCAAGATAAAAAATAGACCCTATTTCAGGTGGCCCCCGAGGATGTTTGGAGACCCGTCGACAAGGAATGCGGCCTTCCGATGTTTGTATCATAGAGATGTCGGTCATTGGACGGAGGATTGTAAGACTTATAAATCCTTCCTCGAAAAATTGGTGAGAGACGGACACCTCAGGGAATTCATCGACAGGGCCCATCCCGGTGGGTCAACGAGGGAGCGAGCCGAGGTGCCAACTGAGGTAGCACCCGTGATTGACGTTATCCATGCCTGCACAGTGAAAAGGCTAACATACAACTCCCTCCGCGCCGAGTTACAAAAGGTTGCTCAAGCAGTCAGGGTGGATGAAAGGAGGGATGAGCGATCGCCCAAAAGACCACGAAACGGTGTCGAGTTTATCCAATTTGCAGATGTCGATCTCGACAGTGTTGTCGTTCCCCACAAGGATGCATTGGTGATCACGTTGCGGATCGGGAAGTTCAACGTTAAGAGGATATTGGTGGACTCAGGCAGCTCCTCCGAGATAATGTACGATCACCTCTTTCGCAAGATGTGACTCTCTCAGAAGGATCCGGAACCCGTAAAAAACCCCCCTCATCAGCTTCAACGGTTCCAGCGCCTTGCCCCTTAAAAAAATCATTCTCATGGTACGGGCGGGGGTGGTGACCACGCCAGTGGAATTTGTAGTGGTAGACTCCGATTCCCCTTACAATGCTATTATGGGGAGATCGTAGTTGCATACAATAAAGTCGGTCCACTCATCCTACCACCAGAAGGTAAAGTTCCCAACGCCGCAAGGCGTAATGGAGATCAGAGGTGATTAGGCCTCAGCGAAAAGCTGCTTCTATGCCGCGGTGAAAACGAGAATCAGTGTCCGGTGTCAGGAGTATGATCCCGACGCGGTGGTTGTCAAATAGCAATCACAGAATGATCGTCCGGGAGTGGACGAGCCCATCACGGAGCCGGCAGACCGGTCTACTGAGGCCTTGGTGAAGATTCTCCTAAGCCCGGATAACGACGAGAAATACTTCTTGATAGGAGAATCGCTCAGCAGCACAAAAAGAAATGATATGGCTTCATTTTTATGCCACAAATGCCGATGTCTTTGCTTGGACCCAGGCCGAGATCACAGGGATAAGTGTTGAGGTGATGACTCATCGGCTCCATGTGAATCTCTCTTTCAGACCTATTAGGCAAAAGGCCCGGAGATCGGCGCCCCATCATGTGAAGGTTGTGGATGAAGAGGTAGTGAAATTGTTGGAGGCAAGTTCAATCAAGGAAGTACAATTCCCCCAATGGCTATCCAATACCGTGTGCGCCAAGAAGAAAGAAGGGAAATTGTGAGTTTGTGTTGACTTCACGGACCTAAACAAAACTTGCCCCAAGGACGAGTACCCCTTGTCTAAAGTTAATCAGTTGGTAGACGCCACAGCTGGCCACAGACGCATCACCTTCATGGATGCTCGGGTTGGATATCACCAGATCCCCCTGCATGAATCAGATCAAGAGAAAACAACATTCATCACGCCCGGGAGAATCTACTGTTACATGGTAATGCCGTTTGGGTTGAAGAATGCTGGGGCGACTTACCAACGACTGATGAACAAAATTTTCAAAGATCAGCTCGGCGAAACAATGGAGGTGTACATTGATGACATGTTAGTCAAAAGCAAAGAGGAGGCCGACCATCTCCGCCATCTCGGGATGACGTTTGCCATCCTTCAGGAATTTGGCCTAAAACTTAACCCCTCGAAATGCGCCTTTGGAGTGAGCTTTAGAAAATTTTTGCGGTATTTGGTCACTCATCGGGGGATCGAGGCGAACCCCCGAGCAGATACACAGCAATTCAGAATATCCAAGCGCCTAGGACTATTAAAGACATTCAGAAATTGGGCGGGATGCTGGCAGAGCCCTTAACAGATTCATTTCTAAGTCGTCTGATAAGTGCAAACCGTTCTTTTCCAAGTTAAGGGGAGCAGCTAAGGGGGTTTGGGAAGAGGAATACAGTCGAGCTCTTGAAGGGATCAAGGAATACTTGAAACATCCTCCAACTTTATCTGTCCCAGCAACAGGGGAGGTGCTGAGCCTTTACTTGTCTGTATCTGAAGACACTATGAGTGGAACATTGGTCAGGGATAGCGAAGGGGCACAGAGACCCGTGTATTTCATAAGCAAGACCTTACTTGACGCCAAATATAAGATACTCTCCAATGAGAAATCGGTCTTGGCATTGGTAGTCTCGGGCGAGGAAACTTCTAACACTACTTTCAGGCTCACGCCATAGACGTCCTTACAGACCGACCTCTCAATCAATCCCTTCACAGGCCAATATGTCCGGGAGGGTTTGCCAAATGGTTTGTAGAGCTCGAAAAATTTAAAATTAGGTACAAGCCTCGAACATCATAAAAGGGCCAAGTCCTGGCGGATTTCGTCGTCGAGTTCTCTGCGTCCGCGCCCCCCCCAAC